CAGGATGGCCAACCCTGATTTCACAGTGGCTTTAGATGAGTGACGGAGGGCTGAGGGAGGGCAGGCAGGCAGGAAGCTAAAGAAGTCATTCCAAGACATACTGCTGGGGGCTGGAGAGATGGCTCAGTAGCTAAGTGCACTGGTTGCTCTTGCAGAGGACCTGGGTTTAGTTCCCAGTACCCACATGGCAGCTAACAACCGTCCATAACTCTGGTTTCAGGAGATCTAATGCCACGGGCATTACACAACATGGGTACACTTACATACATGCAGGCAAACCACTCATACACATAAAATAAAAATAAATAAATTTTTAAAAAATTTAATGATGTCCTCCAAGAGGTGATGATGTCCCTGAAGGCACAATTGAAGGTTGAGGTCAGGGTGTATTTGTGAGTGCTTAGAGTGGGTAGAAGGTGAGACCTGGCTGAGACATGCAGGCTGGGGCTGGTTTGGGAGGGAAGATCTAAAGGGCAGAGTTTGAGGCTCCCCTGGGGCACAGGGTAGGGCATGTTAGTATGGCCAGGGACCAAGTGAGGAACAAAGTTGAGCAATTCCTACACCTTCTACAGCAGGAGGAAATGAGGCATGGCTAGAGAGAGGAGAAGCTTTTCCAAGGGAAAGGGTGAGATCAGATTAAAAGAAAAAATGGTAATCCCAGGCAGGGACAGGAGGATCAAGAATTTGAGATTGGTCTCCGGAGAGTAGGTTAAAGTGCCTGCTGCACAGCATGAGGATGTGAATTTGGGTCTATAGTACCCACATTTAAAAAAGAGAGAGAGCCAGGGGGCTGGAGAGATGGTTCAGTGGTTAAGAGCACTGGCTACGTTTGCAGAGGACTCAAGTTTGGTTACCAGTACCCACAGAGTAGCTCACAACTCCATACCTCTAGTTCCAGAGGATTTGACACCCTCTTCTGGCCTGTTTCTGACAAAACATTCATACACATTAATGCACACCTTTAATCCCAGCACTCGGGAGGCAGAGGCAGGCAGATCTCTGTGAGTTCAAAGCCAGCCTGGTCTACATAGTGAGTTCCAGGACAGCTGGGGCTACAGGGAGACCCTGTCTCAAAAAGACCAAAAAAAAAAAAAAATTCATACACATTAAAAAAAAATGAATAAAATAAAAAGCTAGGCCCACGTCTTTAATCTCAGCACTCAGAAGGCAGAGGCAAATGGGTCTCTGTGAGTCTGAGGCTAATCTAGTCTGCATAGCAAGTTCCAGGTCATCCAAAACTACATAGTGAAACCCTCTCTCAAAAAGGGAAACAATAACAGAAGAAAGCCAGATGTGCCCTTGCATGGGGGGTATCACCAGAGCTCAGAGGATAGCTGCAAGAGTCAGTTCTCTTCTTCCATATGGATCCCAGGAATTGAACTCAGGTCATCAGACTTGGTGACAAACACCTTTAATACACCTTTAATCCCAGCACTCTTGGGAGGCAGAGACAGGTGGATGTCTGTGAGTTCAAGGCCAGCCTGGTCTACATAGTGAGTTCTAGGCCAGCTGGGGCTACAGGAAGACCTTGTCACAAAAAGACCAAAAAAAAAAAAAAAAGATGTATGACATCTGGTCACTCCAAACTCCAAAATGTACCCCTTCCTAGACCCTCAACTTTGTAGCTGTAAATAGCTTTATCACTGTGCCTAGCTAAACACAGTGTAAACTCTACATCAATTCCTTGGCTTCTCTTCCACACCTGTCTCTCCATTGCAGCATCTGTGTGAAAGAAACTCCAATCCATTGTTCCATAGTTTCCCATAGTTGGAATTTGACTGTTTGTGCCCCCTCTGGGGCTTGTTTAAAAAAGCCACAAAGGGGCTGGAGAGATGGCTCAGCAGTTAAGAACACTGGTTGTTTTTGTAGAAGACCCACGTTCAAATCCCAGCACAGACATGGCAGCTAACAACTGTCCATAACTGCAGTTCCAGGGGATCCGACAGCCTCATCTGTCCTCCTCCAGCATTGCACGGCATGGGTGCACTTACCTACATGCAGTCAGTACACGCATACACATAAAATAAAAATAATAAAATATTTTTTAAAAAGCCACAAAGAATTTTGTTTCCCCAAGTGACCTTTATTTTGGGCCTTGCTCTTGCCAGAAAACACGGCACCGTGAGGAGTGAGGAGTCAAGGCTATGGGCCTCTTACGTCTGGCTTTATCTTTGTGATATCAGCAGATAGAGAGGAATCAGGAAGCCTGACCACCCCCAGTCAGGGTCACTTGTTCTTTACAGATGTCCTTGTACCACCAAACATGAAGCTAGAAACACAGATGTGTTTCCCAAAGAGAAAGGCATTTGCTGTGGACCTGGAGGCTGGATGGGGCTCAGTACCTGCCTCAGAAGTGTCTCACTCAGGCCATACACCTGGAGTTTCAGGTGCCAACCAGAATGGCAGAATACACAACTGAAGAGATGGCTCAGCAGTTAAAGCACTGGTTGTTCTTACAAAGGACCTGGGTTCGGTTCTTAGTACCCATTTGCTGGCTGACAACCTGTAACTCCAGTTCCTGGGGATCTGATACTCTCTTGCTTCTGCAGGCACTGCATGCACATGGTACACATGAACTCATGTAGGCACACACATATACACAAAGCTTAGTGCCCTTAAAGGTCACATGCAGGGCTGTGCAGACAGACAAGGCCTCTGATAGTGCAGGGGCTGTGGGAACAAGGAGCATACCTCACTAGAGGGTGTCAGGGATAAGTGAGACGCCCTGAAGGAGGTGTGAGGCTAAGGAGTCTGGGGAAGGGCTTCCAGTGACCAGCTCAGGCAAGGTCAAGAAGGGCTGGCTCCAAGTAAGTCACATCTTGGTAGGACTTGGGAAGTGTAGGTCAGCATGAAAGCTGGGGGGTCAGTGGGAGCTAAGACTGGAGAATGGATCTGTCCTGGGGTTAGATCTTAGCATTGGAGGGGGGCCTAACTTAGAGTGTATGTTTTTCTAGGTTCACCTAGGTATGATTGAAGGATCAATTTGTACAATTAAAAAGATGTTTTGTGTGTGCGGTATTGGGATCAAATACCTCTGTGAGTGATTTATTTTTATTTTTTTTATTTTTTATTTTTGTCTTTTTGAGACAGGGTCTCTCTGTAGCCCTAGCTGTCCTGGAACTCATGACCAAGCTGGCCTCCAACTCACAGAGATCCACCTGCCTCTGCCTCACGAATGATGGAATTAAAGCTGAGCGCCATCATGCCTGGCATCAATCATTTTTTTACATGCATTTACACTGTTATCACTCATTTACTGATTGGCCTTGAACTCACAGAGATCCACCTGCCTCTGCCTCCCGAGTGCTGGGATTAAAGGCGTGCACCACCATGCCCGGCTTCTGTGTTTTTATCTACCAAGTCATCTCATTGGCCCTGTTTGGATTTGTTCTTGTGGTTCAGGTATTTGTGTTTTTGTTTTGCTTTTATTTGAGATAGGGTCTCCCTGTAGCCCCAGCTGCCCTGGAACTTGCTTTGTAGACCAGGCTGGCCTCAGTCTCTAACAGATCTGCCTGCCTCTGCCTCCCAAATACTGGATTTAAAGGCGTGCACCACCACAGCTAGCCTGTTTTGTGTGAGACAGGATCTCATTAGCCGAGGCTGGCCTGTACTTTGCTATGATCCTCTAGCCTCTACCTACCAAGAGATGGGATTACAGGCATGCACCACCACTCTCAGTTTATGCAGTGGTGGGGATGGAACCAGGGCTTTGCATATGCTTGGCAAGCACTCTAACTGTGCTATATCCCCAGCTATCTTTTTGGCTTTTTGAGACAATCTTAGTCTATAGCCTAGGGTGGGCCTTAAACTCAGTCTTCTTGCCTCAGCCTCCCAAAGGCTGGAATTACAGGCATGCTACCTGACCACCAACAGATACAGTCCTTTGTCTTTGGCCTGAGGCCTCTCACACCTGCTCCAGCCTTCTACCAGCCCTTGGCCAGCTCCTGGCCAGCTCCCAAGTCCCTTCTAAGCAGCTCCCCTTGGGGCCTGACCCTGTAGAAAGCTACCCATTTTGATCTAAGCTCTACACGGACCATCTATCCTGCTGAGACCATAGCTTACCCTTATTCTCATCTGTCTTTCCTCATGTTAACCCTGGGGATCTGGAGACTTAGGTCACCAGACAACCAGGCTTTGCAAGTTCATAAGCAACTTCCCAGGCCCTGCCCAGGCAGCAAGACATCCCAGGAGGAATCAGTTCCACCATGCAGAAAATTCAATTTGAGTTGCCTGGGACAGGAACAAAAAAATGCACCCCCTCGAGGCATCTGGGTTCACCAAGTGACTTGGTGCTTCCCTCCCCTTCCTTTCCTCTCTTGCCCACTCAGTGGTCTGCCGCCTGCCGACTTCAGAGAAGCCTGCTCCCAGTCGGGGTTGGGGGGTGTAGGGGGTGCAGGGGAGCTAATTAGAACCTTTCCGTGCTCCGCTGTGGAGCCACGTGGTGTCTGGGATCCCACAGCTTGGGCCAGCTGCCACCTGCGCAGGGCCAAGCCTTGGGCTCTCTGGTTTGGGCCTAGGTACCAAGAAAGGGGTTCCTAAAGCCACATATCTTGCACTGACCGTCCCCATTGCATGGGGTAGGAAGGTGTGTCTGACCTATAGCACCCAGCAAGTCCCCAGATGACAGGGACCCAGTTTTCTTAGCCTCCACAGATCTAGAGCAGGTTTGGGCCCCAGCTGTTGTGCTGCAGAATCGTTAGTCTGGTTCCTGCAGTTGCATCCTGCACATGGCTTTGTTCTCCAACAGACATTTTTTCCCCCTCTTAATGGGAAAGGGGGAGGGTATGAAGAGCAGGGCTCTGATATAAACAGTTACCAAGGAGACCGAGTCGGGTTAGAAAGGTTCTCTCCTTCCCTTGGTCCATACAGCGGGGGCGGGGAGGGGGGTGGTGCCCCAGCCGCAGGGGATCATGGGAGGCCGCAGGCTCAGTCCTGATTCCTCCCCCCTGCTGCAGCTGCCAGATGTTGCAGAGTTCACAGATTCGTGGGGAACGGAGGCAGGCAGAGGTGCTGGAAGATTCCGAGGGAACTTCCAGGGTGTCCTGTGGCACTTTCAGAGTTCCCAGCCCCAGGCAGCCTGCCCCACCACACTGAGAATGGACAGAGCTGAACTTTCCTTCTGCCGACTCCCTGCCAGCTGCAGCAGAGCTCAGTGTGGGACCCCCCTTATTCCTTAAGCCCTGGAGATAGGAACTGGGGGCGCCATGGGATGTACCTACTCATCTGCACCGGAGGAGCCCACTCTGAGAAGGTCAGTTTCAGTTCTAGTGCAGATGTGTGGGCGGCCATGGGCAGGGGATGGGTGGCTGTCATCCAGAGCCCAGGGGAAGAGGCTGGCTTCCTGGGAAGAGCCACTCCAGGCTCACAAGCCCTGCCATGACAGTTGACCCAGGATGAGGGCTCCCAGGCTTGCTTCCTTGAGCTGTGGGCTGCCCTCAGGCATGAAGGGCCACTTAGCAGACAGTAGGATTGCCCAGCACAGGATCCTCTCTCTCCAGCCAGATCCCTAAAAGTCAGTTCAGGGGCTGGAGAGATGGCTCTGTGGTTAAAAGCACTAGCTGCTCTTGCAGAGGACCTGGGTTCTATTCCCAGCACCCACATAGCGACTAATAACCATGCATTACTTCAGTTCCAGGGGATCTCACATCCTTTTCTGACCTCTGAGGGCATTGTATGACACGGGTGCACTTACACATGTACAGGCAATACATGCATACACATAAAATAATAAACTTTTTTTAACTTTTTAAAAAATTTTTATTTATTTTTATTTTATGTGTATGTGTGTATTGCCTGCATGTAGGTAAGTGCACCTGTGTTGTGCAATGCCCGTGAAGGTCAGAAGAGGCTGTCGGATATCCTAAAACCAGAGTTATGGACAGTTGTTAGCTGCCATGTGGGTGCTAGGATTCAAACCCAGGTCTTCTGCAAGAACAACCAGTGTTCTTAACCACTGAGCCATCTCTCCAGCCCCTAAATATAATATTTTTTAAGAAGTCAGTTGAATTGAGGTAAAGGGAGGATGGATGTCCCCTTTGGCTGAAGCTAATGGAGGTTCAGGCACTGGGCCTCAGAAGTGCTCAGACATGAGCTCGGGAGATGGTTGTCTGCAAAGTGCATGCTGCACAGGCATGAGGACCTGAATTCTATCCCTAGAACCTGTGTAGAAAAAGTCAACCATGGGGGTACACTTGTGCTGGCCTGGGGAGGCAGAGGGAGGAGATCGCCAGAGCTCCCTGGCCAGCCATACTAGCCAGGCAAATGACAGACCCTGTCTAAATAAACAAAGTGGATGGCACTTAGCTGGCCGTGGTAGCATACATCTTTTATCCCAGCACTTGGGAGGTAGAAGCAGGTGATCTCTGTGAGACAGAAGCCAGCCTGATCTACATAGTGAATTCAAGGGGCTACAGGAAGATCTTGTGTTAAAACAAAAACAGTATAGACAGCACCTGAGGAAGGGGACACCCAAGATTGACCTCTGGCCTAACACACACACACACACACACACACACACACACACACACAGAGGAAGTGTTCAAATGCCATGGGCCTTGTTCCACGGACAGGAAGAGTGTCTCCAGGCAAACTTGTCCTGGACACTCTCCTCACCATGGCCAGAGCCAGCTGGCCTGGAGTTCTACTCTCACTGTTTACCTGCCCAGACCATCTTAGCTGTGTGGTCCTCATCCAGTGCCCTTAGGAGGCTTCTCCCCATAGTTCTTCTCTCTCAGCCTTTTGCCATTACAGAGAATGGGGCCCAGCTCTCCCTCAAGGCCTTTTCTGTCTCTCTGGTGGCTAATACCTGCCCCTTTGTGACCCTGCGGCCTAAGCCAGCCAGCCTTGGCACATGCCACCTTGTACTGCTGTGTATCTTTGAAATCACAGACTGGCCCAGTTAGTGAACTTGCTTCCCATGAACACCTTGTCCCCTTGAGTGTCCTCAAAGTTCCAAGTGCCTGGCAGGGCTTAGGAGAGGCTGTGGAAGTCAAGTTCAGTAAGCAGCTAAGGCCTTTGAAGGGCAGGACTGATATGTCACAGACCTGGGTGGTGGTGACCAGCAGCTCTGCCTCTTGTCCTACTGTGATCCCCCTGGACTCTAGCACAGGGACAAGACAGACCCTTAAAGACAGAGAGGGCATGCTTTAGTCCCTGTCCTCAGCACCTGGCATGGTGCCTGTCCCCACCCTGCCTGGGTGGACCGGAGATGTGACTTCTATGGAAACATCTGTCTTTTGAGAAGAGCCAGGAACTGTCAGCCAGAAGAGGGTAGGAACTGAAAAATGTCCCCAGAGGCCTTTATGCACCTCTGCCTGCCAGATGCTGGGTGGGAGACCTGGGCCAGCCACAGAGGAAGGCCATGAATACTGTGCTGAGTGCCAGGGGCTGTGCTGATTGGGGACAGACACACAGACGCCTCCCCCTGAAGTTATTAAAGCCAGCACTCAAGGGAAGCAGAATACGTGGCAGGGACCTGCTTCATGGGTACATGCACCTTGCTGGGGACAGTGAACCCTGCTGTGTGTTGGGGAGGGGGCAGAGAAGTTTGCTCTAGAGGGGCAGTGCAGGTTCATGTGGAAGAGCAGTAGGAGTTGGTAGGAGGGAGTCAAGGAAGGTCAGACTACGTCCAGGGAGCAGTGAGCCCAAGTGTCCACTCAAAAGGACATGTTAAGTGAGTGACTTGGCCAGAGAGGCTGGAGATGGGGTAGCCCAGGGCTTCCTTCTAGAACACCTTATTGCACACCTGTCCCCAGTCAGGACTTCCTAATTTTGCTTTGTTGTGGTTTTGTTTTTGAGATAGGGTCTCACTACATAGCCTTGACTGGCCTGGAACTTGTAAACCAGTCTAGCCTCAGACTTAATAGAGATTCGCCTGCCTCTGTCTCCCAAATGCTGAGATTAAAGGCATGTGCCACCATTGCAATTTAAATTGTCATTGTGTGCGTATGGGGATTCATGCATGTACGTGAAGGCCAGAAGTCAACTTCAGGTGTCATTCCTCAGGTGCCATCCACCTCACTTTATTTTTCAGAATTGTTTATTTGTGTATGTGTGTCTGTGTAAGTGTATGCAAACTTACACAGTGTATGCACATCTGTACACACACATGCCAGAAGTGGGTATTGGGTGGTCTCCTATGTCACTTTAGGCCTGTTCCTTTGAGGTAGGTCTCTCCCTGAACCTGCAGCTGGCTGGAAGGAAACCAGCAAGCCTTAGCAATCTTTCTGTTTTCAACCCCTCAGAGCTGGGGTGACAGGCATGCACAGGGCACCCAGCTTGTTACATGGATGTTGGGATCCAGACTCCATGCATCATGATTGTGTTACAAGCACTCAACTGCTGAGCTACCTCTCCAGCCCCCACCTTGCTTTATTTTTTACTTTGTTACTTTTTTTTTTTTTTTTTTTTTTTTTTTTTTGGTTTTTTTGTAGCAGGGTCTCCTTGTGGCCCCAGCTGTCCCGGAACTCAACTATGTAGACCAGGCTGACCTTGAACTCACAGAGATCTGCCTGCCTCTGCCTCCCAAGTGCTGGGACTACAGGCTTGTGCCACCACGCCTGGCAATTTTTTACTTTTAACAAATGTATTATTGTTTTTATGTGTATGAGTGTTTTGCTTGCATGTATGTAAGTGTACCATGTGTGTGCAATGCCCGAAGAGGGTGTCAGATCCCCTGGAACTGTTAAGGACAATTGTTAGCTGCCACATGGGTACTAGGATCTGAACTTGGTTCCCCTGCAAGAGCAGCTAGTGCTCCTAACTGCTGAACCATTTATCTCTCCAGCCCCCTGCTGGAGCCTCATTCAGCTAGTCTCTAGCAGGTCCCACTGCCCACCTGGGGGGAAGGTAAAGGAAGAGAAGGGACTGGAGGAGGAGGGGGAGGCACCACACCATGGGAGGGAGAGTGGGCAGATGACCAGGTGGGACCCAGATCTTATCTAAAACTCATATAGCAGGCTGCGCCCTGGAGGTAATGGATCTCTGGAAGTCCTTTGATAAGTTCTGGGAACATAAAGGAACCTTTAGACTCAGCCCCAGATTAAAGGGCAGAAAGGAGATCATAGAAAGCCCAATGAGCAGGGCCTGGAGGGCTGAACAGCGGTCTTGAAGGCAGAGCTCTACAGGTGGAGGTGGTGATGTGAGCATTGAATTTCAAGGACAGTCAAAATTTGAGGGAACGTCTGTTCACTTGATGTGTCAGCAGAGTCACAGGCAAGGCTGGGAACAGATTCTGAAGGGATTAGTCTACCTCATTCTGTGGCTCATGGGAGCCATTGAGGGTTTTAGGTGGGACAGGGTACAGGCATGGTAGAAATCTCTTCTTCAGGATACTTCTGGTGGCTGTGTGACTGAAGCAGGGACACTGGGGAGGAAGAATTGGAAGGTGGAGCTCAGGAAAGGCTTTGGTGATGGATGGAGAAGGAGGATACAAAAGCCTTAGCTTCTCTGTTTGAGGGAAATGTATCCCATCTGTGTAACCATGGGAGGTCTTGGCCTTGCAACTTTGGGAGACTAGGGGAGCATGGGGAGGCTGGGCCAGCTCAGGAGTGCTGGGGTCCCTGTCCTGACAGCTCCAGTCCCAGTCCTGAATCAGGCCTCATCACTGGGGAGTAGTACAGGTGGACTACCTCCTGACACACTGCCACACGACACTCATCTCTTCATAGCCCATCCCGTTGATACCTGCACCCATCTGCCATTAGACTGTCTTGTTTTTCAGGACCTCGTCCGTCAAAGAGAGTAGTTTTGTGGAAAAGATGAAGAAAACGGTGAGTTTCTCTGTTTCTGGTCTTCTCAGTAAAGCTTAGTCCTGGTGGGCACCAAGGGGGCCCAGGAGAGGGCCGATCTCTCTGACAGAGGAGGGCCAGGTAATACTGAGCTGGCCAGCTTGCTGTGGCCATTTTGATCTTACCAGAGTGCAAGGGGCTCTGCTTTTGCTTTGTTCTTGAATAAACAAAAATAGAAGAATAGACCTTACCTTATTATCAAAGTTTGTAGTGTTGCGTTCAAGCCCTAGAACCCACATAAAAAGCCAGACATGGTAACACACACTTGTAATCCCAGTGCTGAGGACTCTTGGGGCTCACAGGCCAGCCAGCCTAGATTAATTGGTGAACCCCAGGCTAGTGAGAGACCCCATTGCAAGTTGCAAAGAGAAGGTGGATGGCACCTGAGGAATGACACATGATGTGGTCCTCTGGCCTCCACATGCACCAGCACACATGTGAACATACACTCCAATTGATATGTTGGAAACCAGGTGTGGTGGTGCACACCTGTAATCCCAGCACTCAGGAGACTGAGGCAGGAGGATTCAAAGTTGAAAGCCAGCCTGGGCTACATAGTGAACCCATCTCAAAAACAAAAACAAAACTGTATATATGTAGCTCCTGTGCAAATATCTCCTGTGCAAATGTCTCAAGATTTATTTTGATTTTTAAAATTTTGTGTGTGTGTGTGTGTGTGTGTGTGTGCATGTGCATGCATCTGTGTCTGTATGTGCATGAGCACAGTGCCTGCAGAGGCCAGAAAAGGGTGTTGGAGCCCCTAGAGCTGGAGTTGGTTGTGAGCTGCCCAGCATGGGTACTGGGATCTGAACTCACGTCCTCTGCAAGAATGGCAAGTGCTCTTAACCATTCAGGCATCTCTCCAGCCCCTACCCAGTGTTTTATATAAGACACTTTAGACTTGCCAATTTTTGTATCCTGTGGGTGAGTAGGGGTCCTGGACCCCTCCAGATACCAAAGATGACACACATTGTTATTTTTGTTTTGTTTTTTGAGACAGGGTCTTACTATGTAGCCCTGACTAGCCTAGAACTCACAGAGACCCACCTGCTTCTGCCTCCTGAATGCTGGGATTAAAGGCATGTACCACCATGCCCGGCTATGTTATATTTATTACTATATACAAATGTCCTAGTTTGGTTTCTGTTGCTGTGATAAACACGGTGACCAAAAGAGGAAGGGTTTTATTTCATCTTAGAGGTCCATCACCAAGAGAAGCCAGGGTAGAAGCTTGAAGCAGAAACCCCTGAGGAGCGCTCTTACTGGCTTGCTCCCCCTGGCTTGCTCAGCTACCTACCTTATACAGCCCAGGCCCATCTGCCTAGGGATAGCACTACCCACAGTGGGCTGGGCTCTCCTGTATTAACAATCAAGAAAACGCCCTGCAGACAAGGCCACAGGCCAGTCTGATCCAGGAAATTCTTCAGTTGAGGTTCCCTCTTCCCAGGGGACTCTAGATTGTGTCAGGTTGACAACTGAAGCTATTCTGCCATCCGTATTTCTTGGTTAACTTCCCTTTTTGACCCAACATTAGAAGTATGATCTTCAGTGAGATCACCTAGATGACTCCCAATGCCAGTCTTTATGTAATGACTGTCCTCTTCCATCACAGTGTCTGTCAGATTCTAGGGCAAGTGACTCACACAGGACTTGAGGCCAGGAAGAGAGAGGATGCCCCTGAGGGGGCTCCACTTGCCAAGTCTGTCCTGGATCGGTCTTCCAAAGTTTAGGGGCCCCTCACTGACCAGGTGTCTGCTTCCTCTTTTAGGGAAGGAACATTATCGTTTTCTATGGCTCCCAGACTGGGACTGCTGAGGAGTTTGCCAACCGGCTGTCCAAGGATGCCCACCGCTATGGGATGCGGGGCATGGCAGCAGACCCCGAGGAGTATGACTTGGTGAGTGAGCCCCCCACCACACACTGTCCTGGGTGCCCCAACCTGAAGTGCAGGGGCAGGAGAGCCAGGTGGAGAGTAAGGTTATACAGGATCTGGCCCTACCTGGGCTGCCCAGGCATGTGGGATCCTGTGCTGCCCCTGCCCAAGAAGCTTCTCTATCTGTGGAAAGTGTATAAGGTCATCTCCAAGAGCTGTCTGAGGCTAAAGCTGTTAGTAACTTACTTACACATTAAAGCTGGGGGATGAGTGGGGACAGGAGCTGTGGAGGGGCCTGGAGAATCTGATAATTTGGTGGGAGGCTAGTTTGGAATGGTGGGCTTTCTTCTCCCATCTAGCACCTGTCTTCCACCATTGCTGCCCTTGAGCCTGTATAGGACATGGCAGGCCCAGCCATTATCTCTGAGGGCTAGAGACAGGGGCAGGATTGCCCCTCACTGTCTTCTAGGCTCACCAGGCTCATTCTCCTGGCTCTGGCTCTCCATCTCCTCATATGGATGGGGCTGCACAACACAAGAAATGCCACCTTGGGACTAGACAGATGGCTCAGTGGTTAAGAGCACTGGGTGTTTCTACAGAGGACCAGGGTTTGGTTCCCAGCACACACATGGGAGCTAACAACCATCTGTAACTCCAGTTCCAGGGGATCCAGTGCCCTCTTCTGACCTCTGTAGACATTGCATGACATAGGTACACTTGCACACATGCAGGCAAAACACTCATACACATAAAATACAAAGGTAAACTGAAGAATAGCACACAAGGTTGTCCTCTGGCCTCCTCATGTGCGCACACGCACACACACACACACGCACACACGCATACACTTACACTCACACTCATACTCGCTAACAGATGCATATTCTTGCTCTCAGACACAATGAGTGAGCACCAAGGCCAGGCCAAGCTGTGACCCAGGGCCCTGAGGGGTGTGGTCAGGTTTTTTGGGGGAAGCCAGGCCCTGATACATAGGGCGCCATGTCCTCCAAGCCCACTTGGGGCCAGAAGATGGCCATCCCCTGCCCTCACCTACACCCACTGTCCCCTCCCTAGCATTGCACTGTCCCCTCCAGCATGACAGGCCCTGTCCTGCTTTCCTGAGTCTAGTGCCCACCCTTCTGTTTGCCAGCCCTAAGCACTCACTCCATACCTCTCCCAGATAGCCATTCCCTCCCTGATCTCACCACCCTGGCATCTGGGCTGGGAGCTGCCCTGAACCAGCCTGGCCTCCCCAGCCTGCTGCTCTTCATCAGCCATGGGCTCAGGCAGAACAGCCAGGGTCACAGTGGTGACACCCCTACTTATCCCCTCAGTCTGATCTGAGCAGCCTCCCAGAGATTGACAAGTCCCTGGTGGTCTTCTGCATGGCCACGTACGGCGAGGGTGACCCGACCGACAACGCCCAAGATTTCTACGACTGGCTCCAAGAGACCGACTTAGACCTCACTGGGGTCAAGTTTGCCGTGAGTCTCCACAGCATCCCATGAGCACATGCTATCCCATAGCAGCTCCCTAGAACCCTAGGATCTTCATGTGTTCTCCTCCCTATCCCCTCTTCCCTGTACTTAGGGGGCCTGACACTCTCCTTTGCTGGCCCAATCCTTCCAGAACTTCTCCCTGTCATCAGCTGAGTCCAGGAGGCACTAGTTACTAGTGATGAAAGGCCAGAAAAGTGTAGTAGGTGGCTGAGACATGTCCAAGCAGAGGGGGCTGAAGAGTCCAGGGCTGGCTGTGAAGGGAGCCACCCGTGGGCTGCAGGTCTCCTGAACAAAGCCATGAGAGGTTCTTCTCAGTGCCCACAGTGCCAGGCATTCCCAGTGCAGGGAACTGTCCACCCCAAAGACATTGGATCCCACTGGGCAGGCCGAAGGCCCAGCCTTAGAGTTGCCCCTGCTGTCCACACAGGTGTTCGGCCTTGGAAACAAGACCTATGAGCATTTCAATGCCATGGGCAAGTACGTGGACCAGCGGCTAGAGCAGCTTGGTGCCCAGCGCATCTTTGAGCTGGGCCTCGGTGATGATGACGGAAAGTGAGTGCTGTCACCTAGGGCCCCATCCTGGCATGAAGGCCACCCTTCTTCCTCCCTCGAGCAGGGTCAGGAGTCACATGAGGGAGTGGGCTGCTGACTCCTGGCTCACACTCTCCTCTCTCCAGCCTAGAGGAGGACTTTATCACATGGAGGGAGCAGTTCTGGCCAGCTGTGTGCGAGTTCTTTGGGGTGGAAGCCACTGGGGAGGAGTCGAGGTAAGTGGAAGGCCATGCTCCGGGCTGGGCTGCCTGCCCTGTGAGAACAGGGAGGAACAGATAGGGAGACCCTCAGTCACAAGATCTGGGAGGTCTCTGTTCCCAGGTGGAGGAACTCAGAATTTGCTGACAGTGAGGGGAGTCAAGCTGGGGTATCCCTTCCTGACATCACTGGGACATTGGCTTCCCACCCGTGTCCACCAGCTCCCAGGCTCTCAGGGTCAACTTGAGTCCTGCCTTTTGCTTTCCTGTATGTCTGCTCCAGGGTCCCCTGCCTCCTACTGTCGTTTCTGGGCCTTTCACCCATCCCCTCTATAGTCCAAACCCTTCCTCTCTCAGGCCTGACCCCTGTTGCATCTCCCCCACCCCCAGTTCTGACCCCAGCCTTGATTTCCCCTTCCCAGCATTCGCCAGTATGAGCTTGTGGTCCACACAGACATCGATACTGCTAAGGTGTACATGGGTGAGATGGGCCGTCTGAAGAGCTACGAAAATCAGAAACCGTAAGTAGATGAAGGAAAGTAGGACTGGCAGCATGGTGGTCCCTAGTGCACTAACATCTCAGGCAGGTGTGTCCCCCAAGGGCCATCGTATGAGCACGGTGAGGTACACCCATGCTTTCAAGTCCACTGCCCAAGGGACAGGTGCTGTTCCTGCCCTGGCCCTCAAGAGCCCAACTTAGCAGTGGTCCGTTGAACCTTGACAAAAAAGCTCATTTCTTTAGAATCCACCTCAACTGGGGATACAGCTCAGTTGGTAGCGTGTTCACCTAACATGCAGGAAGGCCTGGGTTCCAACCCCAGCACTGCATAAACTGGGAGTGGTGGTACACACCTACAAACTCAGCACTCAAAAATCAAAACTTCAAGGTCAGTCCTCAACTTACATAGACCATTTGAGGCAAGTCTAGGATACATGAAACCATCTCAAAACTAATAATAGGGGCTGGAGAGATGGCTCAGTGGTTAAGATCACTGACTGCTCTTGCAGAGAACCTGGGTTCTGTTCCCAGCACCCATGTGGTGGCCAACAACCATCTGTAACTCCAGTTCCAAGTGATCCAATGCCCTCTTCTAGCCTCCATGGGTATCACACATATAGGTACACTTACATATATGTAGGCAAAACACTCAAAGGTATAAAATAAAAGGCACAGAGTGCAGAAGCGCTTCTGAGTTTCTTAGGGGCCAGCCTCAGTTTCCCTATCTGTGACCCCCTTGCTCTGCCCACTGGGTTGCACTGACAGGGCTAGGAGAGTTGGTTCCCTATCCCTGGTCCCTTGTGGCACTTGGAAGCTCAGAGGCCCTGGCTAGCTCTTGCTAGGCAGAGCTAAGTCTAAGCAGAGGAACCTCAGATCAAAGACCCAGTCAATCACTGAGCTCCCTTCTCCCTGCCCAGCCCCTATGATGCCAAGAATCCATTCCTTGCTGCTGTTACCACCAACCGGAAGCTGAACCAGGGCACTGAGCGCCATCTCATGCACTTGGAATTGGACATCTCAGACTCAAAGATCAGGTACCTGCCACCTCCCACCTCCCCAGGACAAGCCTGGCAACAGAGCTATCTGCTCCCCTTCTCCTAAGCCTCATGCCTCTCTCTAGGTATGAATCTGGAGATCACGTGGCTGTGTACCCAGCCAACGACTCAGCCCTGGTCAACCAGATCGGGGAGATCCTGGGGGCTGACCTGGATGTTGTCATGTCTCTCAACAATCTGGACGGTGAGTTTTGGAATCAAGAGCTTTGGCCAGACCTGAAGGTTGAGCTGTCTTCTGGCCTGTAGCCCAGGTGCCAAGGTCCATGCCCCAAGATACCCCTTTATATGTGAATGTTGCCTAGCTCTATGCCCCCCCATTCCCTGTTGTAGTTGGGGGAGGCAGAGGCAGTCCTGCTCCTGGGCCTCCATCCTCACTAGTAAATGGAGGGACTGGGTTCAGCAGCTATCACTGCCCACCAGGACCCTTCCAGGGTGCACAGGCACCAAAGAAGCCATAGGCATGGCTATATGCCAGGGCCTCCTACTGTGAACCCAGGCATTCAACACCCACCAGAGCCCTGGCTCTGCCGTCATGCATGGAGCAGAAAAGCAGTTGGTTTTTGCCAATCTCTTCTTGCCTCACACCCGCCGTGCTTCCTCTATGACATGGCACTGCCTCCCTGGCTAGATCCCTGTGATAGGCCTGAAGTTCAAGCCTATCAGAAAGCCTGGCAGAATGAGGTAGTGCCAGAAAAAGCAGGCTGAGGTGCCTGCTTCCTGCCACACAGGTGGTATCCCCACCCTCCATGATTATGATGTCCCGCCCTACCCCAGGGGATGGCCCCCTCACCCCAATCCTGCTTTCCCCACTGCAGAGGAATCTAACAAGAAGCATCCTTTCCCCTGCCCCACCTCATACCGCACGGCCCTTACCTACTACCTGGACATCACCAATCCTCCACGCACCAATGTGCTCTATGAGCTGGCTCAGTACGCCTCAGAGCCCTCGGAGCAGGAGCAGCTGCGCAAGATGGCATCATCCTCAGGCGAGGGCAAGGTGAGCCTGTGTGGCCTCTGCCTCTGCACCCCACCCTGCCAACTTTGGCATTGCTCCTAGGCTGCCCACACCTTCCATGTCTCCTCAGGAGCTATACCTGAGCTGGGTGGTAGAGGCCCGGAGACACATCCTGGCTATCCTCCAAGACTACCCTTCCCTGCGGCCGCCCATCGACCATCTGTGTGAGCTGCTGCCTCGGCTACAGGCCCGCTACTATTCCATTGCCTCATCCTCCAAGGTGAGGGGTACCAGCTTTGCCCAGGAGGCACCACCCCTGGCACTGGACTCTGGGTGTCAGCCAGGAACACTGCTGAGGACTCCCTGGGGCTGGGGCCCAGCTCACACCAGCCCTTTCTACAGGTCCATCCCAACTCAGTGCACATCTGTGCCGTGGCAGTGGAGTATAAGACTAAGTCTGGCCGTGTGAACAAGGGGGTGGCCACCAGCTGGCTGCGGACCAAGGAGCCTGCTGGGGAGAATGGCCGTCGGGCCCTAGTACCCATGTTTGTGCGCAAATCCCAGTTCCGCCTGCCTTTTAAGTCTGCCACCCCTGTCATCATGGTAGGCCCTGGCACTGGGGTCGCCCCATTCATGGGCTTCATCCAGGAGCGGGCCTGGCTTCAGGAGCAAGGTAAGTGTAGGGTTCTGGTTCATGGTCATCTGGGGATGGGTCAGGGAGCTCCCCCCTCCCCGCCCTCCACTCTGGCCTCTGTTCCCTGCCCAGGCAAGGAGGTTGGAGAGACATTGCTCTACTATGGCTGCCGGCGCTCAGATGAGGATTACCTGTACCGCGAGGAGCTGGCACAGTTCCACAAGGATGGCACCCTCACACAACTTAACGTGGCCTTTTCCCGAGAGCAGGCCCATAAGGTGAGGTGGGCTGTGCTGACAGGAAGCTGGGCTGGGCAGACAGCCCCATGAAGAGGTGGGGTCATGGGTCCTGAACCCTCCTCACCCACCTCCCTCCTGCCCTGCTCCAGGTCTATGTGCAGCATTTGCTAAAGAGAGACAAAGAACACCTGTGGAAGCTGATCCACGAGGGGGGTGCCCACATCTACGTCTGCGGGTGAGTGGAGAGGTTGGGGAGGTGCACTGCCCACCTGGGGTGACCTCTGGCACACCCTATCACCACACCTTTCCTACCCACAGGGATGCTCGGAACATGGCCAAGGATGTGCAGAATACCTTCTATGACATTGTGGCTGAGTTTGGGCCCATGGAACATGCCCAGGCCGTGGACTATGTGAAGAAGCTGATGACCAAGGGCCGTTACTCACTGGATGTGTGGAGCTAGGAGCTGTGGCCCTCCCAGTCCTTGTTCCTTGTAATCACTTTCTGAGCTCCCTTCTGCTGACCTCCACCTCTGATGGTTCCTGCCTGGCCTGCCACAGGAAGGCCCAGGAACTGACTGCTCTGTGCCTGAGTGATGCCCGGGCTCCCAGGCTAGGCTAGGTCCACTGCAGCAAGTAGTCCAGCCCCAAGGCACACAGTGAGGGGGACTGGCCCACCCTTGGGTGATGGATGCCTCAGGCCCTTGGCAGCTGGACAGAAGAGGCTCTTCTCTCCATTGAGCTGGGACATGGCCCCCACCATGTGATTTCTGAATGAGTGTAAATAATTTTAAATAACCTCTGGCCCTTGGAATAAAGTTGTTTTCTGTATCTGCCTGGACCATGTTCCTTGAGATGCTCTGGGGCTCCTATGGGGATCTGCTTCACTCAGACCACCCCATGCCCTGAGACCAAGAGCCTCCCCTGCCAAGAATCAGTGCCATGTGGGGATCCCGAGCCCTGCCTTCCCCAGACCATAACCACCAGGAGTCTCCTCCATGCCTCTCTTTATTGAGGCCCAGAGCCCAAATCCTGTAGGCTGGGCTCCAGGCCCAGACTTTCCTCAGGGCCCACAGAGCCCACAAAGCCCAGGGGGTACAGAAGGAGGCACTCCCCTCACACAAGGGTGGCCCAACCTCCCACCCAACTCAGCACACAGGTCTTCAGAGGACCCTTTGGGGCCGGCCAGTACATCTAGCTTAATCCTTCTTATTCCCATGCTGTTGGCTGTGGAACTTTTGGTGCACAACCCGGAGGGTGGTGAAGAAATTGCCAAGGAAGAGGAGAAGGAAGGGGAAGCCACACATGAGCACCTGCAAGAGGGTGGGGAGAGCCAACGTTCAGGACAAGTCTAGACAGGACCTTGACAGCATCCTTCCAGGCTCCCCAGCTCACCTGCCACTCTTTGCACTCAGGGTCCTGGGCCAGGTTAAACAACGTCAGTGCATTAAAAAGCTGCCAGAACTGAAAGAGGGACAGTTGGCTCAGTAAACATAGTGGCTGCTCAAGCCCCAGAGGGCAGAGCCACCAGTGGACACCCAAGAGGTGGACAGGGACATCCAGGTACCTCTTACCTGTCCGAAGAAGAGGAAAGGGAGCAGAAAAGTGAGACCCCGCCACATCCAAGACTGGAAGCCTTCTGCAGGGAAGGAAGAAGCCAGAAGCAGTGACCAGGATGGATGTGACAGGATACCGTCATTTGGGAATCCCCCTTTTCCCAGTGGCCCCAGGGGGATGAGCTGGCTCACCCACGGTGAGATCCATGGTGTGCCGTTCGCCCAGGGCGCGCAGGCGGTACAAACAACCACTCTGGTAGTAATACTGCAGAAACTGTACGAAACCTGAGAGGCCGGGCAGGTGGGTGTGTTAGACCCACTCTGGGCCCTGAGCTATCTCCCCATGTCCACTCCCTAAGCCAGGGACTCAAGAGACACTCACTCTGATACATGGAGAAAGACAGAAACTGGTTCCTGAACTTCTGGTACATGAGACCATCAGGCCTAAAAATTTAGGGAAAAAAGAGAGAGGGACGTGTGAGGAGGAGCCTGGGGACCCTGAGTCTCCCATCTTGTCATATTCCCCCTGCCAGCCAAGGTCAAGGTCACCTGGTCACTCACCAGGTCAGCATGACTCCAGACAGGAAGGTGGACACATAGTGATGGAAAACCCACCAGCCTTTGATTCTGTAAGAGGGTATCACAGCAAACTCCTGGGATGAGGAACCAAGTTCCTGCCTCCTGCCACCCCACTTCCTATTTGCACCACGCCCCATCTGGCCACACATGCACACCTAGAACCATTATTGATAAGGATGCTTTCTCGGATGGTCAGCGTGCAGTAATACCAGACCAGCAGGAAGTTGAAGGCTGCGTCTGTCACCCTGGGGAGAGGGTGACACAAATGGTTGGTCCCACAGTCTGGAAGGGTGCAGGGTGGGACCTCCCATTCTCTCGTCCCTATCCCTGTCCCAACACTCACCTGGAGTTGAACAGGAAGCGGCAGGTGAAGGAGATGACGATGAGGATGATGGTGAGGTAGAGTTTGAACTTCTCATATTCATCTTTGTAAGCAAACCTGGGGTGTGGGGGGGGTACGTGCTTGTGGGCAGGGCTGGGACACATGGGGGCTGGTTTGGAGGGGACTTCCTTCACCACCATCTGGAGATCAGAGGCCAGTGTGGTGGAGGAGTAGTCCCCAAACCCCAAGACCAAGCCAACCAAAGTCAGGGCAGAGGTGGGTGGGGAACCCAGTGAGATCCAGTCCTTGACAGAGAGAGCCACATACTTAGCCTGTTTGCTTAAGAGTGTCACGTTGACGTTTCCCAGAACCAGGCTCAGGTACAGCCTAAGGGGCAGAAGAAGCCCTGAGTGACAGGGAACCAACACAGCCCTGAGCATGCTGCCCCAACCCCGAAAGCCTGCTACCTTCCCCATGGTCTAGACATACAGTCCTAATGTTGGGGATGTCATACACCAACAGCATGTAGTGCCCTGCTTTGCTCCCTGCTTGCCCCCAAATCCTGTCCCTGGGGGAACATGTGATGTTTTGCTTGGAGTCTCCCCACCTTGGTACCTTGGGAGCCCTGGCTGTCTTACTCCACAGGAACCAATTCCCACACTTTGGGTCACTCAAGGGGACTCTGTATCTGGGTGAGTAGTCATCATCTGTTCATATCCCATGGTTCCTTGCTTTCTCAACTCCAAGAAGCTCACACAACAGGCAATGTTGCCCCCTCAATAGCCTCCCTTAAAAACCCAGGCTTTGGGGGGCTAGAGAGATGGCTCAGAGTTAAGAGCACCAGCTGCTCTTGTAGAGGACCCAAGTTTGGTTCCTAGGACCGAAGCCACCTACATGGTGGCTAACAACTCCAGTTCCAGGAGCTACAAGGTGGGGCCCCCAGATGAATGAAGGACAGAGTGTCCTCCCAATTCATTGCCATACACAGACCCATCCTCAGCACCCAGAGCTTCAACCACACTAGGCAGAGCACCTACCAAGTGAGCTATATCCCTAGCCCTTGGTTTGGTTTTTCTGAGATCGAGTAGGCCACATAGCCCAAGCTGTCCTCAAACTATGTAACCTAGGCTAGACCTGAATTCACTGTGTAGTGGAAGGTGACTTTGAATTCTTTCTGCCTTGGCCTCTGGAGTGTTAGGGTCATGGCCTCATAGTGTCATCCCCAGTAGTGTGGCTGTTCAAATCAGCCTACAAGCCCTGCACTGGGCTTCTCTACCACCAGCCTCTGCCCAGTCCCTTGGCTGCCTCTGCTGTTCCTGAATCCTGCTCCCACCCTAATGTCTCCAGGCACTACTCTGGGTGACCTCTCTCCAAGCTCCCAAAGAGTCATGCTGTCTTGGCTATCCCCTCTCTTCAGCTTGTCTGCCAACTAGAAGATCAAGACCAATGCCCACCTCCTTTCCTTCTACCAAGGTCCTTTGATATCCAGGAAGCACTTCCTCTCTTACTGAACCAACCCTAACCGTCAGCCCCAGCCTATCTGACAGTCAGCCCCCCCCACCTCAATCTCTCAAACTCTCTATGTGTCTCTGGACAATGTCTCATGTAGCCCAGGCTGGCCTGGAACTCCCTCTGTAGCCAAGGATAACCATAAACTTCTGATCTTCCTGCTTTCCACTCTGAATGCTGAGATTACAGGTGTGCACCACCATACCAGATTTTATGTAGTGCTAGGGATGGAACCCAGGGCTTTGAATATGCTAGCCAGGTACTCTACCAACTGACTACATCCCCAGTCCAGCCCTTGGTGGGATTTTTATTTTATTCCATTCCATGGAATAACTCTATTGTAAATTCCAGAAAGTTCTACCTAATTCTTTTGGCATGCACATGCATGTATTTAAGGGTATATACATGTGTATGGTGTGAAGCAGTCTCTGTTACGGTAGGAAGTAGATCATGGCGATCTACCTGAGCATATACCCTTGGATTATATGGTTTGTTTTTATTTTTATTTTTATTTATTTATTTTTTGTCTTTTTGAGACAGGGTCTCCCTGTAGCCCCAGCTGTCCTGGAACTCACTATGTAGACCAGGCTGGCCTTGAAATCACAGAGATCCACCTGCCTCTGCCTCCCAAGTGCTGGGATTAAAGGTGTGTGCCACCACGCCCGGCCTGTTTTTATTTTTTTAAGACAGGGTCTCACTGTAGTTCCAGCTGGTCTAGAACTTGCTATGTATGTTATGTAGAAAAGGCTGGCCTCAATCTCACAAAGATCTGCCTGCTTCTGCCTCCCGAGTCCTGGGATTAAAGTGTGCACTACCATGTCTATCTTTTTTTTTTTTTAATAGAAGGGGGTACATGGGTGCCAAAACATACATACATACATGTAGAGGTCAGAGGACAACCTGCAGGAGTTGGTTATCTCCTTCCACCATGGTGGGCTGGGAGAATCAAACTCAGGTCATCAGATTTGGTAACAAGGTCCCTTAGCTACTGAGCCATCTCACCAGTCCCAGTTTGATTTCTTGAGGCAGCGTCTCATTATGTAGCCAAAGCTACCCTCAAACTATGTAACCTAAGCTAATCTTGAACTCACTATATAGCCAAGGTGATCTTGAACTCTCAACTCTCCTGCCTTGGTCTCCAGAGTGTTGGGATCACAGGCATTCACTAGCCCATTCTTTATCTCTGAAGATGGCCTAGGCATACCCCAGACCAAGCTGTGTCTGACCTTGTAGAGCCCATCAAAAGCTCCCATCATAGCAAAATCTGTTAATCCTGGGCACCCTGACTGACTGAGTGACCAAGAGAGAGGCTAGGGCTTCACATCACTGGGTCTAAAGCAGGAGGGACTCACCCATTTTTCTTGGGCAAATAGGCTTCCATATCAAAGAAGTGGCCTTGGCGCTCTTTCATCTGATTCTCCAGCTCCTGTGCAGCCTCTGAGACCTCAGGTGGAAGGGAGGATCTGCATCTGTGGGTGGGTGAGGGGGGGTCAAAGCAGGTGGGTGAGCCAAAGTTCCACAAGAACCCTCAGGGCAGAGGTATGAACAAGGCTCAAGGGAATGGAAGATGGGAAGAGCCATGCCAGGGTGACCCCAAGTTATCACTGTCCCAAGCCAACTACTGTACCCACTCCCGGCTGGAGGTCACCCCCCCACCCCTCACTTTTTCAGCACCAAGGCCAACTCCTGGAGCCGCTTCTTCTGCCTTGTGATGGAGCTGGTGCAATTGTTCTGCAGTTTGGTTAGCTCCTCTAGTTTCAGGCGATACAGCCGGTGTGTTTCCTGGGTGAAAGGGAGATGGCATGCGCTGGTTGGAGAGTTGCCAGCCAGAGCCTCCTGGTCAAGGCACCAGCTACCCTGGAGGGAGAACTTGCTGTGTGTATCCAGGGACCTCCCAAACAAAGGTGTTCTGCCCCTGAGGCAAGCCAGGAACTAGGTAGCTGTCTTCATGCAAGCTTAGACCCTCCACCATACATGGTCCCAGTAACAACAGGCCAGGGGTCCCCAGCTCTGCTTTGATTCTCTGCATGTCTACCTTCTAGAACAAAAAAAGCTGCCTGGATCCACGCCATCTCAGTTCCTCCTACCTTCCCGACCTACAACTGAGCAATCTAGGATTCTCCATGATGCCATCTACCCAGGCAGTCCTGAGGTTTCCTATCAGGTTAAAGGTCAACAGGTTTCCTGCCCTAAGGCCAGTCCCCTCCCCTCTACTCTCCTCCTGCAGGTACCTTTGGCCCAAAACCTCCCTAAGCACTTTGCCCTGGTGGATGAACCTCACGAACTGCAACATAAAGATGGGGCAGTGTGGGGAAATCAAGGCAGGGGTTGAGGCGAGTCAGACTGTGAGACTTGGGGCTGCCTAAGGCCTCCAGGGAAAAGGTCTAGTGCCAGCTGGCTGGGTAAGGACCAGTGGCTGGAGTGGAGACATTTAGGGGGCTGGACAAAGTCCAGCAGAGGCAAAGGTCTAACATGGTATCCAGCTGGCCAGGCTCCACTTTCTGAGTCTTGTTTTCTTATGCCCAGGAGGGGGCCACCACACCCTGCCTGGGCTCTAGCATCTGCCACCTCAGCCCAGGGAGCAGCCACAACCCTCTACTTAGAAGAGGCCAGCAGCTTTCTTTTCTCAGGCATGGGGACAGAATGGTCCAATGGCCTGAAACAGACTCTAATCCCTACCAACCCTGAATGTCCCTGTAGAGTCCTGCCCCGCCCACTCTCCCTACTAGAGCCACCTGCAGCTAGTCAAGCCCCCCTCCTGTCCCTTGGTGGGCGTTGTCCCTCAGTTTGAGAAGGCTTGGGTCCTGGATCCAGGCCTGGGTTTTGCTAAACTTGCTCCCTGCGGGAGGAGATAACGCTGGCCCCCAGGCACCTTTGCAGGGTGACTGACCCAAAAGCTGGGCCAGGCTCACTCTGCCTTTGGTGACCGCTATCCAAGAAGAGGACGGGGTCCGGGGTAGGGTCGGGATGCAGAGGGAGGAGCAAACGAGAAGTCTTGGCCTCTCTTCAAGGCCTTTGAGGAAAGTCGAGATGGCTTAGTGCAGTGGGATCCTGCCCAGGGACGCAGTGGAAGTGCGGGCTACAGGGACTGCCATCCTGCCATCCGACATGCAAGAGGACTCGGGGACCCCCGAATTCTGACCCCTCCAAGCTCCCCTCGACTGAGCTGGGACTGCCCGACCCCTGACCCCGAGCCAGAGAGACCAGGCTCGGGGCCATTGGGCAGCCGCAGGGACGCTCACCTGGATGCCTTGAAAGTCCTGCTGCAGATCCTCCCAGTTGCGCAGACAGTCGCTCAGCGGGTCCAGGGACGGAGGTTGCATGGCTCTGGCCACGCCACGGGCCTCAGGGATTCGCGAGTGGGGCGGACGGAGCGGCAACCCGGACTGGCCGGAGGCGCCTCCGCCACCGCCCCCCTCCGCTTCCGGGCTCGCGCTGCCGCCGCGGCCAACGGGAAAAGGCCTGGCGTAGGCCAAGCGGGCCCCGCCCCCTAGGATAACCAATCAGAGCCCGGGGCGGGAACTGGGCGGGGCCACTGGTTGCAGGGCGTCTCCTGGTTTGGGGACCCGTAGAGGGGACCGGCCTAGAATGCACACGTGCACCCTGGCCAGGATCCACTGGTGATGTTACCCTTGTGGTGCAAAGCCTTGGACCACGCGCAAAACAAAGCGCCACGTGCTTCCAACACTTTTTGGAGACAGGGTCTCACTATGTAGCCCTGGCTGGCCTGGAACTCGCTATGTATAACAAGCTGGCCACAAACTCTTAACACCGGAGTGCTGGAATTAAAGGATTGCGTCACCACGTCGAGCACTTCCGAGCCCTCCATTCGCAATCCATCCCCACTCCGGTCCTTCACATAGCCACCAGGCTGCCTCTCCTAGAACACAAGACTAGTTTCTCCACCGTGTTTGGGGAGGTGCAGGCTGGAGGATCAGAAGTTCAGGGCATCCTCAACAGGGGACATCCACTCACCCTCACCACCCCCACCCCCACTTCCCTCTGTGGAAAGATCTAAGAAGCTGAATGGCGGTCACTTCCCATCCCAGTCTCAGCGAATGAATGATGGACATCCTACACTGCCCACCAGTTCCTTTACAGGCACCCCCAGGTTATTCTGTGATTGCTACCTGGCCTAAGGAGTGCATTTGGACAACTCCCTTTAAGACTTGTGAATCTGGGCCTGTGAGATGGGGGCCTGTGAGATGGCTCAGCAGGTAAAGGTGCTTGCTGCCAAGCCTGAAAACCTGAGTTCGATCCTCAGGACCCACATGGTAGGAGAGAACTGTCTCCGGCAAGTTGTCCTCTGACCTCCACACAAGTGCTGTTGCATGTGTACACATACATACACACACACACACACACACACACACACACATACACACACCACTATAATACAAAAAAAACATGGTTTTTTTGGTTTGTGATTTTTTTTTTTGAGACAGGGTCTCCCCAGCTGGCTTGGAAGTTGCTATGTAGACCAGGCTGGCCTCAAATTCACAGAGATCTGCCTGCCTCTGCCTTCGGAATGCTGGGATTAAAGATGTGAGCTGGCTGGGGGCGGGGAATTAAGGCTTGGGGAAGTTCTAGGGCTTGGGGATGTGGCTCAGTTGGTATAGTGCCTACCATTCAGGAAGCCCTAGGTTTGATCCCCAACACTGCATAAACTGGGTGTAGTGGTGCCTGCCTCTATTCCCAGCACTCAGATTGAGGCAGAAGGATTAGAAGTTCAAGGTCATCTCCTAACCTACATAGCAACTTTGAGGCCAGCCTGGGATACATAAGACCCTGGCTCAAAAAAAAAAGGCTTGTGGTAGGAGAGGTGGGTGGTGGTAGAACTGAGTGTATCTTCTTTGTAATGAATTGAGGGCAGAGAAAGAGAATCTATATCCACTGATTAAGAGGTGATGATAAGAGGGCTGGCTCTGTGCATAAGGCAAAGACTCTTATTCCAGGAGTTTCTGGGAGCTCTGGAGCCTGGGCCAAGGCTAGGCCTAACATCTCAGGACTAGAGGATTTCTGCCCTTGGAAGGACATTGTGACACCCTCCCCATGGACCAACACAAAGCATCCTTGGGAATGCACATGCACATACCTATACCCACAAACAAACTCACACATGCACGAACACATGCACACACACACACACAAACACACACACACACACACACAACCTCTAAAAGGTCCAGGTCACCATTGTGTGTGATGGCTGCTCTAGCAGTCAGAGACAGCTCAATCTAGGTGGTCCCTGTTGCCCCCAGGTATGTAAGCTCTTGAGGGGCAGAGTACAGCACATCTGCTCTGCTGAATGAACAAGAGGCCTAAGAAGGCCAGTCACGATGTCACACCTGTAATCACAGCACTCGGGAGATGGAAGCGGGAAATTGGTGAGTTTGAGACTAACCAGGGCTACATAATAAGAACCTATCTTTTATAAAAAGGTGTATGGCTTAGGAAAAAAAAAAACAATGCAGGACAAGGAATGTGTCTCAGCAGGCAGAGTGCTTGCCTAGCATGCAGGAGGCCCTGAGTTCCATCCCTAGCACCAGGTAAACCAGAGTAGCAGTGCACACCTGTAATCCAAGCACTGGAGATGTGGAGGCAGGAGGATCAGGAGTTCAAAGTCATCTTCAGTTACATAGAAGGTGGGAGGACAGCCTAGACTAGATGAGACCCTGACTCAATAAATAATAGACTGTGGGTATAGCTTCATAATAGAGAGCTTGCTTGGCGTGGTTGAGGCCCTAGGTTCAAGCCCCAGCCCAGAAAAAATAAAAAATGAGGGCCAGGCTCAGTGGCACAGGCCTTTAATCCCAGCACTCAGGAGGCAGAGGCAGGTGAATCTCAGTGAGTTGAGGTCAGCCTGCTCTACATAGTGAGTTCCAGGCCAGCCAGGACTACATAGTGAGACCCTATCTCAAAAAATTAGGTAAAAAAAATAACAATCACCAGTATACGAAGCTGACATGAAACTTCAGACAGAAAACGCTTTCTTTTTCCAAACCAACCCAAGTACAAACTCTGGCCCTCCAACCTCCCAAAAACTCCCAAGCTGGGATGAGGCAAAATTCAGTAAACGGGGTCCATAATGTCTGTGATGTAATCTCCATGAATAATTTTCTCCCACTCCAGGAGCTGAGACACCAAACCCCGATTTGGATGCATGTTGTTTTTGCATTTCTTGACGTGGGCCCAGGACCTCTGTGAATGCAGAAAAAAAGACATCAGGATGGCTGGTGAGATCTTTCCAGACTAGATCAGGCCAACTCAGAAGGGACAGGAGGTACCTACCCAGACTCACACACAGTATGGCTTATGAGGTGGATACAGACAGAGGCTGGGGTGGTAGATCATGTGGTAGAGTATTTGCAGAGCCAGTATGAGGGCATGAGTCCGATCCCCAAATCCCACATAAAAAAGCAGGGGATGGCCTTTAATCCCAGCATTCAGGAGGCAGAGGCAGGCAGATCTCTAATTTCTGTGAGTTCAAGGCCAGCCTGGTCTACATAGTGAGTTCTAGGACAACTGGGGCTACAGGGAGACCCTGTCTCCAAAAATAAAGACCAAAAGAAAAGAAAAAAAAAAAGCAGGGGATGATGAGATGGCTCAGCAGGTAAAGGTACTTGCTGCCAAGCCTGCCCCATGACATCCCTGACACCCCACATGGTAGAAGGAGAGAACTGACTCCCTGAGGTGATCCTCTTATTTCCACCCACACACACCCTTTTCCCTGCTGCTCCCCCGAGTAATTTTTTTTTTTGGTCTTTTTGAGACAGGGTCTCCCTGTAGCCCCAGCTGGCCTGGAACTTGCTATGTAAACCAGGGTAGCCTGGAACTCACAGAGATCCACCTGCCTCTGCCTCCCAAGGGCTAGGATTAAAGGCGTGAACCATCACACCTAGCTATAAATAAATGTTTTTAAAAAGCAGGTGTGGTGGTGTTCTAATCCCAGCCCTGAGGGAGGGGAGACAAGGAGGGTCCCTGAGGCCCAGGGGCCAGCCAGCCTAGCCTAATTTGCAAGTTCCAGGTCCTGCTAAATAATATATATATATA